GGATCAAGCTCTGATTGGGGTGCTGGGGGGCTCTGGGGGATGCAGGAGTGACAGACCCCAGGGAACAGAGAGGCCATCTAGGGTTTCTCCCCCAGAGTCTGAGGCTTCTGCACAGAATAAGGGTCTGAGGAAACCATTGGTCTAGGCCGACCACCTGCAGCCCTCTGCCCCAGCCCCTGCTGCCTCGTGACCCTGGCTCTTCGCCAGGCTAAGTTTAGCTGTGACCTGCATAGGCCACCACACTCTGTGGGCAGGGGCCGGGGGTGGAGAGGAACTCAGCAAGTTTCCTGCCAGCTTCCTGGCAAGCAGACAGACAAAAGCCCTCAGAGTGACCCAAGTTAATTTTTAAGCCCAACCCATCTGGATGTCTCAGGCCATGTATTAGGGCAGCCTCATAGGGGTAAGAGCCTTGGCCCAGGGCAGAAGTGGACAATTTTGAAATTGGGAAAAGGGGCCCTTTGGGAAGGGGTTGTGTGTGTGTGTGTGCGTGTGTGTACATGCATGTGTATTCCATGGTTTGGGGAGAGCCTCCCAGATACCTGTCTGTCCCTGTGGTCTCCAGTAAAAGTCACACCACTCTGGTTCCTTCTCATTGTTCTGGCCCCGTGGCCTCCTGGGCAGTATTCCCTGTGGCTTGGTTTGGGCAGAGGAAGTAGAGGTTCCAACTTGGCCCCCTCTAGTGAGCACTGAGCAGCCACAGTCCGTTCCCCATCCCTTAGGTTGCCATAGGCAGAGCCAGTCTGTCCAGACGTTAAAAGGAGCAAAAAGGCAACTGGGATCTCATCTGATCCCTGGGAGCGAGTTGATGGTTTAAGTAAGGAGTGAGTCAGAACTCCACCTCCAGGAGGATCCAAGGCTCCAAAGGCTTCTCCCCTTTGCTGAGGGGCAGGGTGGGCAGAATGGCATGCCAAGGGACAGCTACGCTAGGAGCATTTTGTGCTTTCAAAGCACTTTGGAGCATGCTTTCCTCCGCACCCCTAGGACTTGGCAGGGCTGGTGTGCTTAGCAGGTGAGAAAACAGAGGCCTGTGGAGGCCTAGAGGGAAGGAGCGAATATTGAAGGGCATCTATTCTGTGCCAGGCACTGTGCCAAGCACCTGAAAAGGATTATGTCCCGTAACTCAGGCTTCTAGGAAGGAGGGTCTGCTGTTAGCTCCATCTCAGAGGGAAAGCTGTGGAGCCCTGGAGAAGCTAGACCCCTTGGCAAGGAGCAGAGTCACGTTCAAACCCAGGCCTGTCTGCTTCTAGAGCCCAGGCTCCTCCCACTTTGTCAGCCCATCTCCCTCGTGCTCCCGTGAGTCTTGTAACCCTACTCCTGTCAGTGTTATTGTGGGCTGCTTGCATCCTGCCAGAGTACCTTGTAGGGGCATCTGTGTCGCCCCTCAAGAACCCCTATGGGCAGGGTCACTGCGTTTCCCCCATCCCATCACAGATACCCTTTCGTGAGAAATCGCACTTGGGGGCAGGCATTTTGCTAAGGACTTTATATGCATGATCTCGTTCAAGCTTTACAACATCAGGTATGATTATGACCATTTCACAGATGAAGAGACTTAAGGTTTAAGACGTTGAGTGATTTGTCCAAGGACACATAGCTAGTACGTGCCCACGTTGGCTTCTAGCCCTATCTTGTCTACTCCAGAATCCATCCTCTTAACCCCTTGCATACAGAGTCGATGGCTCCAGTTGGTTTGGAGCTTTGAATGTTGCCTGTCCCAGTACAAGGAGGCTGTTAGGAAGCTGTTACAGTCCTTGAACAAGGCATGAGGATGCCCACAGGTAGCCCCGTGGAAGCTGTTGGGGAGAGAGGAGGAAGATTCCCGGTCGTAAGGCTTGACAATGGCATCACTCCCCACTTGCTGGCATCCTACCCCGAGTTGGCATGGAGACTGGTCACGAGCTGCCCAGGACTATACTGACCTGTCGGGCTCTACTGGGCCCAAAGGGGGCTGCCCGTAGTACAGGGGCCTTCAAGGGCCTCAGAACCTCCGAATTCTCTACCAGCTGGTTGCTGCCTGGTGCTGTGCTTCTTAGCACTGCACGCCTTGATCTTAAAACCCTGATCCACGTCAAGAAGCCAGTCTCACGGCTTTGCCTCGGACCACCCTGGCAAAACTTTCCATTGAGGTTTCCGTCGCGTGGAAACCAGGGCTGACCCGCCGCTCCTTGTCTTGGGGAAGAAAAGCTGGCTAGCTTCCCCCCGGACTTCTTCTTCACCCACACCCCTTCCGGCCTGACTTCCTGCACTTTCTCCTGGCCTCCGTCTCCTCCTCACGTTCACCTCTGAGGCCTGATGTGTGTGCGCGCTGAACTCGGCTGCCGGCGGACCCCGCTTTCGGTTCCTGCTTGCGTGTCCAGCTGTGTATGGGATGAAATCACATCTGAGCAGCAGGCTTTACCCACGTGTGGCAACTCAGGTCACGTATGTCCTGGCCCTGCTGGCTAGAACCTGCAGACATGTCTTTACCTAATGCCACGTCCCTGTTCCTTGGCACCGTTAGGGTAAGAACCAGAATAAGTGGTTTGAAGGGTGCAAATTCAAGGATAGGGAATGGGGCTCAAGCAAAGTGGAGAAGCTCCTGTCAGCATGCGTTGGCATACAGGGGGCCAGGGGGCCCTCTGTGTTCTCTGTTGTCCAACAACGTCATTTGGCCATTTGCTCTCCTCTAGAAGTCCCAGGCAGAAAGGGGGCGGGGCAAGCATGGGAAACGACTGTTGTTAGTCCCCAAGGTTCCTGCCTGGGAGAGGTGAGGGTATAATGTAAGGCTTACCCTGTAAGACTGCGCCTCTCAGACTTTAATGTAGATGGTATTAAAATGCAGATTATGGTTCACTAGGTCTGGGGTGGGGCCGAGGTTCTGTGTATCTTAACTCCCAGGATTGTAAGGGGTTAGCCCTTCCCTAAAAATCACTTGAGATCTAAAAAATCCATTTGTCCTAGAGGAATGGAGTGTCTCCCTTCACAATTAAGAAGTCAGATGTAAAGTTTAGACGACTCAGGAGAGGAAATCCAATGACTCAGTCACTCTGGTTGTCTCCAAGATTGCCCTAGGGAGAGACCCAGGAGAAGGCCAGGAGGTCAGGGTCTGAATTTGGGCTGAGGTCTTACAGATCAGAAGGAGGTTTGCGGTAGGAGAACACAGGGGCCCAAAACTGCTTCAAAAACACTTGCTGTCACTCTGGAAAACAGTATGGAGGTTCCTCAAAAAGTTGAAAATAGAGCTACCATATGATCCAGCAATTGCACTACTGGGTATTTACCCCAAAGATACAAAAGTAGGGATCCGAAGGGGTACGTGCACCCCGATGTTTATAGCAGCAATGTCCACAATAGCCAAACTGTGGAAAGAGCCAAGATGTCCATCGACAGATGAATGGATAAAGAAGATGTGGTATATGTATACAATGGAATATTATGCAGCCATCAAAAGGAATGAGATCTTGCCATTTGCAACGACGTGGATGGAACTGGAGGGTATTATGTTGAGCGAAATAAGTCAAACAGAGAAAGACATGTATCATATGACCTCACTGATATGAGGAATTCTTAATCGCAGGAAACAAACTGAGGGTTGCTGGAGTGGGGGGTGGGGTGGGAGGGATGGGGTGACTGGGTGATAGACACTGGGGAGGGTATGTGCTCTGGTAAGCGCTGTGAATTGTGCAAGACTGTTGAATCTCAGATCTGTACCTCTGAAACAAATAATGCAATATATGTTAAGAAAAAAAAAGAAGAAGAAGAAGGTAGCAGGAGGGGAAGAATGAAGGGGGGGAAATCGGAGGGGTAGACGAACCATGAGAGACGATGGACTCTGAAAAACAAACTGAGGGTTCTAGAAGGGAGGGGGGTGGGAGGATGGGTTAGCCTGGTGATGGGTATTGAGGAGGGCACATTCTGCATGGAGCACTGGGTGTTATGCACAAACAATGAATCATGGAACACTACATCTAAAACTAATGATGTAATGTATGGGGGTTAACATAAGAATAAAAACAAAAAAACAAAAAAAAAAAACACTTGCTGTTCAGTGAATCTATGCTCTGCACCATCCACCGTGCCATGTACACCATCTGCATGGTTCGCCGCATCCCTAGGTACTGTGACCCTGTGGGTCCTATGGCCTTCCTCTTGTCCAGTAAGGAAACTGGGTCTCAGAGAGGTGTGTTAACATGCTCAAGGGCACACAGCTAATCAATGATAGGGCTGGCCTTGGAACTCAGCCTTCTTGTTCTTAACCACTAGGCTTAACTGCCTTGAGGAAAGTCACATTGGCCACAAGGCATTCGCTGGGGAGAGGTGGGTTGAAGTATATAGGAAAACAACACAAACCGACTTAAAGTGAAGATATTATTGACTTGTATGACTTTAAAAGTCCAGAGGCAATGGCTTCAGGCATAGCTGGGTCCAGGGAATCTGCTTTTGTCTACGTTGGCATCTTTCTCAAGCAGACCCCCACTTTGAGGTCTAGAGAGCCCCCCCGCAGCTGCGATTCTGTTCCCTGGCAAACCTAGTCTTTCTCACCATCAGCCCCAGCAAATCCCACCTCTGTGTCCTTCCCCTTGGCCGGAGGGAGGTCCTGTGCTCCTCACTGAATCCACAGTGTGGGGGTGGGGGTGTGGACTAGCTTGGGCCCCGGGTTATATGTTCACCACTGGAGCTGGGGGTGGAGTTATCCCCACCCAAGCCATAGGAAGGGGGCCAGAAAAGGGTTGGCTCCTGGGGAAAGTGGGTTGCTGCTTCCAGAAGGAGGAAAGCCTGGGCAGACAGAAACAGGACAGCCTCCACGAGTTGCTCAGCCAAGGATTGCTGGGTGCAGGGACTTTGCAGTTCTTTCTTCCAGGGCTCCACGGAGGCACGGGCTGGGGGGAGACTGTGGGCTGGGCGGGAGACAGTGAGACCTTCTTCAGCTCTGTGGGACAGAGGTCGGTGAGAGGGTCCGGGGAGGAAGTGGCCTGGAGGGCAGCTGGGTGTGACCCTTGATCTGTCTCTCTGTATGGCAGGCACGTTCCAGCCATGGCTCTGGGGCTCTTCCGGGTGTGTCTGGTGGTGGTGACGGCCATCATCAACCACCCGCTGCTGTTCCCGCGGGAGAACGCCACGGTCCCCGAGAGCGAGGAGGAGATCATCCGCAAGATGCAGGCGCACCAGGAGAAGATGCAGCTGGAGCAGCTCCGCCTGGAAGAGGAGGTGGCCTGGCTGGCGGCCGAGAGGGAGGCCCTGGAGCAGGTGGCCGACGAAGGCCAGCAGCAGAACGAGACCCGCACGGCCTGGGACCTGTGGAGCACCCTCTGCATGATCCTCTTCCTGGTGATCGAGGTGTGGCGGCAGGACCACCAGGATGGGCCTTCCGCGGACTGCCTGGGCGGGGAAGAGGACGAGCTGCCCGGCCTGGAGGGCGCCCCGCTCCGGGGCCTCACCCTGCCCAACAAGGCGACGCTCCAGCACTTCTACGAGCACTGCATCCGGGGCGCCACGGCCGACGCGGCCCGCACCCGGGAGCTCGTGGAAGGCTTCGTGGATGACTTGCTGGAGGCCCTGAGGAGCCTCTGCAGCCGGGACACGGACTTGGAGGTGGAGGACTTCATTGGCGTGGACAGCATGTATGAGAACTGGCAGGTGGACAGGCCGCTGCTGTGCGACCTCTTTGTGCCCTTCGTGCCCCCCGAGCCCTACCACTTCCGCCCGGAGCTCTGCTGCTCCCGCCGCTCCGTGCCCTTGGACCGCCAGGGCTACGGCCAGGTCAGGGTGGTCCGGGCCGACGAGGACGTGCCGGGCTGCGTGTGCGGCAAGAGCACGCTGGGGGAGGACATGCTGTGTCTCCTCCACGGCAGCCACAGCGCCGCACGGCCCGGCCGCGGGCTGGAGGCCCTGCTGTGCGCCGGGGACCCCCCGTACCTGGACACGGCGCAGGTCATGAAGTGGTTCCAGACGGCCCTCACCAGAGCCTGGCACCGCATCGCCCACAAATACGAGTTCGACCTGGCCTTCGGTCGGCTGGACTCCCCGGGCTCCCTCAAGATCAAGTTCCGCTCGGGGAAGTTCATGCCCTTCAACCTGATTCCCGTGATCCAGTGTGACGACTCGGACCTGTACTTTGTGTCCCACCTGCCCAGGGAGCCCTGCGGGGAGACCCCGGCCTCCAGCACCGACTGGCTCCTGTCCTTTGCCGTCTACGAGCGACACTTCCTCCGGATGACCTCGAAGGCACTGCCCGATGGGGCCTGTCACCTCAGCTGCTTGCAGATCGCCTCCTTCCTGCTGTGCAAGCAGAGCCGCCTGACCGGCCCCAGCGGCCTGGGCAACTACCACGTGAAGACCGCCCTGCTGCACCTCCTGCTGTCCCGGCGGCCGGCCGACTGGCAGGCGGGGCAGCTGGACGCCCGGCTGCGCGAGTTGCTCCGCTTCCTGGAGAAGAGCCTGCTGGAGAAGAAACTCCCTCACTTCTTCATCGGCAACCGCAAGGTGCCCGAGGGCATGGGACTCCCTGAGGCCGTGCGCAGGGCCGAGCCTCTCAACCTCTTCCGACCCTTCGTCCTGCAGCGAAGTCTCTACCGGAAGACAGTGGACTCCTTCTACGAGATGCTCAAGAACGCCCCGGTGCTCATTCGCGAGTATTCCCTGCATATCCCCTCAGACCAGGCCAGCCCGCCCCACAAAGCTGTTGTCTTGTAGAGCATCCAGGACCCAGGGGGCCAGGACGCGGGGCACCCCACATATCCACGCCTCGGGGGGCATCTGCAGGCCCCGGCCCGGGAGAGCGACGGGTGCTGTGCGGTGCCCGGGCTCAGCCCACCAGGGAAGCCAGGCCCTGTGGCCCGCGGAGGAAACAGAATTCCAAGCTGGAAAAGCTGGTTTGCTTTTACACCACTGGGGTCCTACTGGTGAGGTTATTGTCTGGGTTTGGTTGATCCTTTGCAGCTTACTTTTGGATCACCACAAATGGCCAAGATGATGACAAAATCCTCTCTGGACGCTGAGCTAAAGACAACGCAAACATTGATGCGGGTGTAATTTTTATATCCCAGGTCCAGGCTTTACTTAAATATCAACAGAGGATCTGCAGGAATGCTGACGGGGATGCATGTTAAGACCCTGCAGCCTGTTTCCAGTAATCCTTGGCCCCAGGCATCCGCGGCCAAGGCACCAGCAGGGACACTTGTGGGAATTTGCAACCTTCCATCCACAGCCTGCACATTAGGGGTCCTTTCAAACTATTTGTAGAAAAGACCTAGAAGAGATTCAAGGCCCCAAGAGGCCAATGTCTGTTGCACAGAAGTGGGTACTTGGTGGCAGAGGGAAGTTTCAGTCAGCCACTTTTTCAGCTCCGTGTCTCACTCAGGGTGCTCCCCCTTTCCCATCCCTTACCCCAGTGTGCTGTGCCCTGAGCCCCATAGGTACCTGTATACCGTGCTGGGGACAAGCTCCACAGCCGGTCTCTGACCATCCGTGTGGTGGGGGAGGGCGGATCCCGGAGGTGGAAGCTGCAAGAGACACAGGGTGACTGGGGCCAAGGGTAGCACCTGTTCCCAGGGCGCTGATGCGCAGTTCAGAGAAGATGGCAGAGCTGAGGAGGGAGGGAGGGAGGGAGGGATGCCACAGCCCTGAGTTTTCCTCGGCAGGGTCGCAGTCCTAGAACCAAGCATGCCTGGAGGCAAGAGGAGACCCAGCTCCATCCATTGGCCCCAAGACCTATTCACTGCAGTGGGGCACCCTCACGGCACAGAACCCCCCTTTCTGGATGGGCTTTGCCAGCCACACCAGATGACCAAGACCCGAAGAGACTTGGCCGACTGGAAACACGCAGGGATAACTGCCGACCCAGCCCCCAGGCCCCAGAGAGGTCACCCCAGCACTGCTGGGGGCTGTGGTCACTGGGCAGGCGCCAGAGCCTGCGGTGGGAGCTGGCCCGTCTCCAGGCCTGGGTCAGGGGTTGGGAAGCCACTCCTCCTCCACTTCTGGCTTCGCTGGCCCTTTGGGAGTTTCTCCCATGGTAGTGCCTCAGTAACCCTTGCAGCAAGCCAAGGGGGAGGCAAGAAGGAGCGCACCTGAACCAGCACCTGAGTTCCCCTCCAGGGTTTAAGCTGGCCAGGCCTGCCGAACAGCAGACCCCATTCTGTGGGGGTGTCGGGCTCACCACAAGCTGCGGAGGATTCTGTCCCTCACCCAGGGGTGCTCTCACCTGGCCCCAGTAGTTCCAGAAGATGGATGGTTTGCCTGGCAGGGTTCGCTTGGGGCAGGAGGCTCGGCTGTGATGGGGCACTGAGGCCTGTAGGAACCCTTCCATGTAAGCTGGAGTCGGACCACGCAGACCTGGGTCTGCTCTCCCCAGCGCCGGAGCAGGCAGCGTGGGGCCAGGAAGGGTGGTCATGCCCACGTGGCCCCCAGCAGTAGCCCCAAGCCCCCATTCAGTTGTGATTTGTTTCCAGAATCGGGGTGAATGTCCATATTTATTATTGCCCATGCCTTGCCTTCCCCCCCCACCCCATCCTTAGCTTGTGCTTGGAGGAAACCCCACAGCCGGGAACAAGGCTCCAGAAGCCAAGACCAAGCCTGAAGCTCCCTCAGCCTCGCCTTGGCTTCCAGGGAGAAGTTCACTGAAAAATGACCTTCTGGCCTCTTGTTTATCCAGAGAAGACAACTCAGCGGGGCAGTGGGGATCTTCTATGCACCAAAGCTGCTTCTGAAGCGGAAAATAGCCGAGCTCTCGGTGTTTCATGCTGCCTTATTTATATGAAAGGAAGAATTAAATTCTTGCAAGGAGTAGAAACTGGTCACAGTGTTTGTTTTACCTTCAGGAAGTCTGTGAGGTTCCCTGGGCCAAGTTGGGGAGCAGGGGGGGTTTCCTGTTGACCAGCGGAAGCTTTCACTCCCTTTTGATTCTTATGCTTTCAGGAAACTTTTTAGAAAAATCACAAAATAGAGTCTTTCTAGCCCATCTCTGAAGCAGCCTACAGAGTTCCAGAAGGGGAATGGGGGATGTCAGCCCAAGACCTTCTTTCCCCGAGCTCGATGTGCAGACAAGTGTGGGAGCTACGAGGAGCACGAAGCTTTTGGGTTTTGAGGAGAGAGATTGTCTTTTCAATGGAGGGTTTAGTCCATCAGGGCATTTGACAGCCCTTTCCACTAAGGACAGCCAGGCCTCTTTCTCTGAGGAAGCTCTCTCCTTTCCCAAGCAGGCTTGACCCCACCAGGCATCTGCTCGCTGGTTGGGTAAGATGCTCCAGAACTACATTTTGCCGCACGTCTTGGTCTTGACAGCACTGAAAGAAGGATGGCCAGCCCGAGGCCAGGATGTCGATTAGGTTGGGAAGGGCCACGAGAAAGAGGGGAACACACTGCTGGCTGGTCCGAAGGAGGAGCCCCTTTAGAGCCTGCTTCTCCGGCGGTGGTCCCGTGTCACCCGGGTGCGGGTTTCTGGGCCACACTGCAGACTTCAGTGGAGTCGCTAGGAGTCCAGCCCAGGAATCTGCATTTTGCCAAGTTCCCCAGGTGATTCTGAAGGCCCAAGAACTTCCGCTACCTGGGGGGATTAGGGATTAGGCACTGCCTGATAAGAGCTTCTGAAAGATGGGTAAGACTGAGCCGGGAAAGTGTTCCAGCCAGAACCGCGGAGTGAGGGGAGGGGAGCGTGATGGACCAGGCAACAGGGGAGTAGCACCTACTTCATGCCAGTCACCCTTCTGGGTGCATTCATGTACATTAACTCCTTTAATTCCCATGTTAACCCTATGATGTGGGTGCTGGTAACATCCTCCCCACTTTCCAGAGGAGGACACTGAGGCACAGAAGGGTAAGTTGCAAAGCCAGAATTTGAACCCAAGCAGGGCTGGTCTATATGCTGATAGATACTGAGAAGTTTTAGCAAATGAGTTTGAAAATGTTGGGGCTGATCTCAGAAAAGCCTTTAAGGCTGAGCCAAGGTAAATTTGAACTTCATACAATAAGCAGTGGTGAGCCGTTGCTGATTTGTGAGTGAGAAAGTAACCTGATTTGCCCCCAACCGTGAAGTCCCTGACTATGTGGTCAGCGCTGTGTTGGGTGCTGCGGGGCTTTATGGCCAGCTTCCAGGGTGGGTGGGGTCAGTGGCGACTGTGGCAGGGTCGGTGAATGTCCCTGAAGTTCTAACTTAAGTCACCCCATAAGCTGATTCAGAACATCCTCATGCTCCATGCGGTCGCCACCTCATGGGATAGAGATGGAAGGTTGTTTGGTTTGGCCAGCAGACCGGGAACAGAGAGCACCAATAACCACTTGACTTGTCCCCACCCCACCTCACCCTCTGCTTTGCCCCTGGACCCCCACCCTGGGAAGGGCATCTTTTAGAGTTAACTTTTCTCATTGCCATCCAAAAATAGCTTGTTTTTCTAACTAGTTGCTTTTTTAAAAATTTTATAAAAACAAACAGTCATAATAAAAATATTCAACCACTGACAGAAAAATTAAGTAACAGATAAACACATCCACCCCTTACTTCTCCATCCATTCCCCAGCCATAACCGATAGGAAGTTTCTTGTGTATCCTTCCAAAATTTTTCTATGTATGTATCGCATGTGTGCATGCATCCCTTTTCCTTTTTACCCAGATTGCATCATACCGTCTAACTTTTCTTGGATATCAATTTTGAACATTTGGTTCTACCCTATTTTTCAAAATAGTTGCTTCCTTACTATCTCCCAGTATGGATAGATATACCCTAATTTACCCAGCCTCTCCTACCAAGGGACACTTAAGTATCTCCACTTTATTTGCTATTATAAACAACATGTCAGTGAACATCTCAGTGCATAAAGTCGTCTTTGAAGTGATCCTCCCTTCTGGTAATTGCTATGATAATGTACTCACCAACTTGGTATATATGGATTCACCACCAAGTATCTTACCATAAAAGTAAACTGTTGCCTGGATTTTATTCCATCCTCATGATTCCAGAGTGAGGAAAAGGCATTTTTAAGCCAAGTACTGAGCAATACAGCATGTGTTCTACCCCGGATCAGGCACTACGTGGGGAATAGAAGTATAAGACAAAGGCTCTGCCCCACAGACGTGGGTCTATGAGGAAGACAAAACTGATGGCCAAAAAATAAGCCAGAGAACAGTAAAGAGCATTAAGTAATTGGAAGTGAAATGATGTGGCTCGAAGGCCTGCGGGCGAGAGGGAATTCAAGAACTCCCAGATCAGCTTTGGGTTTGGGAGTTTCAGCTCCCGTATACACAGGAAAATGTGAAGAGCCTCCCCAAAGAAAATCAACTCGATATGATTGTTTTCCTGTCCCCAAATGGGTGTGTTCTGTTCCTTTGGCCCGGGGGCTGGTTTATTTCTTCCGGCACGATGTGGGGCCCCTGCTTTCCTGGTGTAAGTGGCATTTTTTCTTCCTTTGATGTTCCTCTGCAGCCCCCACAAAGAAACCAGAAAATAAAGCTTTCAACAACAAACTCTATTCCAGCAAGCTGTAACCACATAAATTTCAGAGATGTTCAAAGACATTTCTTCTTTTTCTTGCTGGGAAAAGGTAGGTCTTAAAAGTTCCAGGTGAGATTTGCAGGACAGGGGTGGGGTAAGAGGTTGGGAAGAATTTGATCGCATCTGTTTCTTTAAAACCCACTGATCAGTGATCTTCTAGGTCTCTCTTAAGGTAACTTTATTTAAAATAGAAACAAAGCAAAGACCCACTTCCCGCCGCTTCTCACAAGCCACCCTTGGGCCTGTCTTCCCACCTGACCAGAGATGACTCACACAGCCCCCAAGCCCTCACTGTTCACTTATTTCTGGAGGGTAGACTGGACTGTGTTGGACCAAATGTCTCCTGGGACAGTGGTTGGACCTCCAGTGGCTGACAGTTGTCTTGGGTCTCCTCCAAAAACCATGGCTAGTGCTGAATCAGCCCCAAGATACCAGCCAAGGACAGTGAGTCAGCCCATACATACCCCCTACCCCAGGAATCTGGGCCAACCAAGAGACCGCAGAGACCTCAAGTAGAGCCAGACGCAGGGCCCAGGAGGTTGGTGGCATTCTGCCCTCTCAATATCCCTAGCTTTGTCCAGACCAATTCCTAGAAGCCCTTTCCACACATTTGTGTCCTCCTTGCAACATTTTATAATCTGACCAGGCAGGGAAGCTACTGAAACTCCACCCATCCAGAACCAGACTTCCAGCAGCAAGACCAGCTCAGCCTGAATGTTTCATGATCCAGGCAGAGACAAGGAAGTACGGACCCCTGCCCAAACGCCACGCATCCACTCAAAATGGAGGCCCATGTATGAAGTACTGCCCACTAGACAGCCAACGTCTCCCATGACAAAGCCATGCAAAGACCAAGGAGTCTGAGATATCCAGACCGTGTAAGTGGCACAGGGGCTGAGAACTTGGGCTCTGTTCAAATCCCAGCTGTGCCATGTCCTAGCTCAGCAAGTCTCCTAATTTCTATGAGCCTTGGTTTTGCCTCAGTTTCTTCTATAAAATGGGGATGAAACTGTCCACTTCATAGAGCCATTGAGACAATTGAGGAAAAAGGTCACATGGGAAGAAGCACTTAGCTTAGGGCTTGGACAACAAACTCAAAACAGAGTAAACAACAACAACAACAAAACTGTAAACAGAAGGTGTTCTATTCTGACTCTACCTTGGGCTCCTTCCTCCACGCACCGGAAGCCTGGGTTTGGGGCTAGGGCTGCAGCAGAGCCCCCGGCTAGCTCTTCCTCTGGCTTCCAGCGGAAGCAGCTCTTGCTGCCCCTGCACCTGGGATGTCCGTCCCCTACCCGACCCCTGCTGCCGTCAGATTGTCCCAGATAAAGTCCCCAAAGAGGGCCTTTCTCTTGAGCAAATGAATGGCCAATTACCATTTTACTTTAGGACGGAATTTTAAAAATGGTTCCTGCCCTTACCATCTCTACGGTTTCTAATTATTTATCCTGGCACCTTCCTCTTATGGCAGAAATGCACAGAAACATGCAATACACACACACACACACACACACACACACGCTTTGAGACACTTTCTAAATCCCTGAGCATAACTCAAATATTGCCCGGCTTTGGAAGCATAAGCCCAGATTTATCAAAGGCTGCTCCTGCTAACTGATCGCCATGCTAGATTCAGAAACCCCAGTCTTGTGCTTTTAGGAGAGGGTCTGCTTAGGCTCCCCTGGGGGCGCTGCATGGCAGAGCCTGCCTCAGTTGCTTTGTCCTGGGCCCGACAGGCTTGCAAATGCACTTTCCAGCCTGCTCCGCGATGCCAGGGAGCTGACTCTTGCTTTTCAGCCACACCCTGGAGTGGGGCTGTCTGCTAGGACAAGGAAGCAGTCCTGCCGGGACCCCTGCTGTCCGCAAGGAGATTCTTGCAGTGTTGCATCCTTGGGAGGAAGTGACAAAACAGATTATTCCACAGTTCTTACTGGAGCCCTGTCCTTTCCCTGAGCAGCATACCCCTGGGGCACCTGTGTATTCCACGCAGTGCTCAAGCTGGTCACTGCACAAGCCTTCAGTCATTTCAGACCCCTCCTACTTAAACGCGCTCCAAGAGGGCAGAGAATCGAGATTCTGAGTACTTCACAACACGGAAAAGGGTATTTATTTTACCATCATCAACAATGTGGCAAGATTTGAGGATTCAGCGATCAGCTAGGCTTGGAGAGCTTGGAAGGGGAAGAAGAGAGAAAAAAAGTCCCAGCTTCCAAGGGCTCACAAGTTATTTGAGATTGAACCCACATTCGTGGAATCAGAAAACACTCCAAACTGTGAATCAAGCCATGTGTGATGTAGGACATCTTGTC